GGGGGGGGGGGGGGGGGGGGGGGGGGGGGGGGGGGGCTTGTTTAGAAAAGCAACATGCAGGCAAAATCGAGCTGGACAAAGATCGTGGAGACTCACTCTCAACCGCAGTAACGTCCTCGGGGTGCACGTCCATGCTCCGGAGATTCATCCGGGTGAGTTGCTCCTGCATTTTGAGTCAAATAATGTTTACTCGCTAGGCCTCACAGCAAATCCGATCTCATGCACACGGGATGAGGCTTGGACTCACCTGGCATTCAACACTGGGTGTTCCCATGCCAGCAGTAGATCCATCGTGTCGGACAGCTGAAGCAGCGATCGAGCCGAGGATGTGCAAGTCATGTTCTCGAGCATACTTCTGGGCGACTAAGACGATCATGCCGACTCCTTCGGAGGGACTGAAGCCGTCCGCTCGCTGTGAAAAGGAGCGACAAGCTCCTGCTTTCGAGAGTAGACCACATTGTTCCAAGGCCAGCAGTCCTCCTGGCCACACATCGATTGCGGCTGCGCCGACAAGAGCTACGTCACATTCGCCCTGCAAAATCGCATTGCGCGCTTGCAATGTTTTGAACAAGATGGTCAGGTGATTTTCATCGTGAAGCCGACCGACTTAGCCATCTTACCTTGGTGTAAAGCTACAGCAGAGCTTGAACATGCGGTTTGGGTCATCACAGCAGGACCACGAAGATCGAAAAAATGGCTAATGTGACCAGCACACGCCGAGTCTGCCATATTTGCAGCGTAATTTCGATCCCACACGGACTCGGCTTTTCCTGTCATTTCGCCAAGCAGAGACTTGAAGCCGCTGGGTTCTTGAGCGCTCATCCAGACGCCTACATCGGCTCCTCGAAGATCTTCTGGCTTCATGTTTGCATTTTCTAGTGCCTCCAAAGCGCAACGAAGCAGTAGACGATTTGCGGGTGGCGTTCGGTCAGTCTCTGCTGCAGGCATGCCAAAGTGCCAAGAATCAAAGTGAGTGCAAAGCTCATTTCTCAACCAATGTGCACGATGAAGCTTGGAGGACAGCTCAACACAATCCAAAGAAGTGTTGCTCCATCGTTCCTGTGGTCGCTTTTCGGCTTCTGAGCTTGTCCTGCCGTTCAGAAGACGATCCCAGAGCTGGTCAATCGTGTCGATGCCTCCGGGCAGTCGACAGGACATGCCGCAGATCATCACGCGCTGGACGCTTTCCCCGTCAGAGATCTTCGCAGAGGTGCGCACAGACGAATGGGTATGGGTCGGCTTCTTGATCATCTTTTCGATCACACCACATAGCTCTTCTAGAGTCCGACAGGCGTAGATGGTCCCCGGTTGCACGGTGATCTCCAACTGCTCCAACACTAAAGCGGCCATTTTGCGAGCACTCAAAGAATTGAGTCCTAGCGCTGACAATTGCGTGGTCGCGAGATTAGAGGCAGAGCTGGGTGAATCCAGCTCTGGATCTAATCCAAAAGTGGTGCTAGCAATCCGGTGAAGCGTCCGGCGGACGTAGTCCTGTTCCTCCGACTTTCGATGCCTCGATTCAGTGGCTAGGGGTAGGGATGCCTTGGCACGGACTTGAAGCTGACCAGCGAACGTCTTCCATACCATTTTTCGCCAAATGCTTCGCTTAGGCGTCAGCGGAACACTCTCGCCAGAGGGAAGAATGATGATGTTCGCAGGTGGGATGCGAGCTTCGGGAGAGAACTTTTGATTAGCCGCCAGCAGTGCTTGGATCGCTCTACCATGAGCAGCAACGAGACACGTTTGATCCTCCATCTCCATGATTGCGAACAAGGCTGAGCTCGGTCCACCTGCAGCGTACCCGTCCTCTTCTCGAGGCATGGCATCTCCTACGACGCACGCTCGTCTGACGCCTCTTTGTGCGCTCAAGATGTGTTCCCAATCAATCGCAGAGACTTTCTCGCCACCTTGCAACACAATCAAATCGTCGTTGCGACAAACATACGCGAATCGCTCTTCTCCGTCTGCCTCCCACGCAACTCTGCAGCAAATGTCACCCGTGCGGTACTCGACCAAGCCAGCGTTCCCATCGGAAGGCGCGCGCACCAAGCGCAGGCTGCTCGTAGGGCGATTGAGGTAGCCAGTGGCGCCGAGAGAACGACTGGAGCCAATGAGTACGAGCTCTCCACTACTTTCGTCGAGATGAGCGGAAAGACCCTTTCGGATTTTCACAGCTCGAATCACGCGAAGGCTTTCTTGCGATACGCTCGCAATGTCGCTTTGAAGCTGACGGGCGATTCGAGGAAATTCCTGGGCAGCTTCGGCCAGATTTCGACCGCTCCCCCAATATCCAGAAGCCTCTGTCGACCCTGGACCATCAATGAGGTGAATGCGGTGGTGCATTGCCCAAGCAATGTGATGCACGCCGAGAGGGGCGCCAGCAGAAAGAATTTTGACTCTACGCTGGGATAAGAAAGCGGTGAGGCTCGCGTCAGCCGCCACATCATCCACGATCATGGGAGTAGCTTCCAAAAGCGACGCTTGCGATTGACGGAGTCTGAGCGCGATCGCGTCGCTGAGCGAGAGATCTGGCATGTTAGCTATCCCATCTGCAGGTGCGGCAAAGACGTAAGAGCCAAGCGATGCGCCGGTCCAAGATAGCAGTGTCGAGCATAATCTGTAAATCGTACGAACATTAGGACGAGACGCGAGTCAATCTCTTGTTGCGTGGTGTGTGAGCAGTCCTCGAAGCGAATCTGCATGCTACGCACCCCATGGCGTGGGACAAGGGAGCCCAAGCAACAATGCTGTGCCGGCCAGGCTGAGTGCCCAGCTCGAAAGCTTCTGCTTGAGCAGCTGTGGAGTCCGTCAAAGCGCCGTGAGGAATAGAAGCACATTTCAAAGACCGAGCAGTCACAGCCGCAGAAGTGAAAAGGTATACGGCGGTGGAGTCCATACTGGCTCCTTCTCCCGGCGCCCTGGCTTCTTGTTCACGCTGCTCGGCGTCCTCTCTTCGCCTTTTCATCAGATCGTCCGCCGCTCGAGTCGCGAGCTGGGAGAACCAGCTGGACGGTGCGTCCGAGATTGGCTACAACAGGTACATCCATGTTGAGGAAGGGAAGAGACGTTTGGGGAATTCAGCGAGGACACTACAATAAGCAATCACAGGAGGGGGGAGGGAGCTATGGGGGGCGGAATGCCAATCACATGCGGGAGGCAAAGAAACGACGACACCTTCGGGCGATAGACGTGAGTCGCTAGCGCAGCAGATACTCACCGTCTGAAGTGCTTGAGTGTACAGCTCGCTGAAGGACACGGCCGTCTCCTTGAGAGCCTCGGACAAGCGTGGTCGGACATCAGAAGAAACGATGATGAGGTCTGCTTGTATCACCTCTATCATACCTGCCATAACTTCGTGAGTAGTGTTGTGCGGTACAGGGGCAAATATCGCACCCGCAAACGTCACGCTAGCAAAGCTCTGGTGTTGAATATCGTGCAGGAGAGACGTCAGCCACGGTCAGGAGACAAAGGTTTGCGTGGGATGTTCGTCAGGACGAGACGGGTACGCGCTGTGTGAAAATAGCCGCACAGAAGAAGGGTCGTGAGGCATTTTTTGCTTTCACTCTGCGACTCACCACGACGACCGCTGGTGAGTTCGGAGCGATGATCGCAACGACGCGCGGATTGTATTTCTTGGAGATGTAAGTGCCAACATGGTGAGCGAGCTGCGCGATTTGTCCGTATGTAACGTCCGCGAAAGTGGCTTCCGAAGGATCTAGCGCTCTGCTAGTTGGCCATCTGCAGAAGGGGGTCTCTGGCGCCAGTCGCGCCGCCGTTTGAAAGAAGTGGGTCAGGTTCTTTGGGGCTGGTGAGATTCGCGACCTGCTTGACGTAGCGGCTGCGCTTGCGCTCGCATTTGGGCTTGCGCTCGCATTTGGAGCAACTCTGACCTCCATCATGAAGCTACGTCGACAATATCAGTGATGTCAGTGTCCAGGTTAGTTGAGGGACCTGGGCGCACAGAGCAGCGCTTGTGGATTATAAGGTCTGAACGACAGGTGTCGTTTCATACGTAGCCGACACGCTTTGTATGTATGAGCGGTCGAGCGAGCGCCCACCAACGCGCGTAGCTGAGCTTACTCATTTGAGAAGGACATGAAAGGCACGCTGATTGTGCAGCTAGCTGGGCGTGCGTGCCGGGACAAATCCACACAAGTGCAAGCGAATAAAGACCCTGATCGAGCACCTCCGCTGTCGAGACTTGAGACGTTGAGATGACGCTTTCTGTCGCAAATCAGAATCGCGAATTCACAGAGTCGCGGTGAATCATTCGGAGCTTGTAATGCCAACAGGGATCTTATAAGGTATCACTTGTTGTGACTTTTGCCAAGTAAATGCACCGTACACCTTGATCATGCAAGACTCGTTCAACTCTTTGCTGTTCATGCGCCTAGACTCTGTCAGAATGCGGCGCGCTAGCGTATGCAAAGGATCAACTTTTGCATGCATGCATGAGTCTACGTACTGTACCTTGTGGTTCCCAAAAAAGCTCCACTCACGACTTTTGACCTCATGATGTCCCAGTTCATTCATATTAAACGCGACTGGTCTGCAGAGTAGTGTGTGTGAGTGCATCGGGGTGACTTATCTCCCTCATGCAGCTGTTACAATTCACGATTCTGGGTCGGGCGCATGTTTCGTTTTTAATTGGCTTTTTGCATAAAGAGTCTTTTCGCTGCTCGGTGTGAGGCTACAGCTGCACCAGAGGTGGCTCGATGGCTGCTGGAGGCTGCAAGCTGCAGCTGCTGCAGAGGTTGCTCGGTGGTGTTATGCGCGTGGGAGCTGCAGCTGCAACGGCGCCTCGGCGTTTCTCGGCGCAAACGCTCGAACCGTATGTGCAATTTTCGGGCGAGCAAATCAGCGGAGCGTTCGATGTCATGCGTTGCTCATATGTTTTGGTGACATTCACGATTGGATTCATCTGAGACAGCCCGGGTCAAGTCACTGTGGCATTGCTCGATCAGCAGACTCTGCTGCTACGCTATGAACGCCGATGAACTTGGCTGTCGAAGAGCATTGCGCGCATTTGATGACGACTTGGCGGCACGTCGCGAGAAGGCACAGGCCTAAAGCAAAATTGCTGCGAACAAGGGCACTCGAGCGCAGTCACATTCTGATGAACGGCGAAGATGTTTCGTCGTCCATACTCCAGCAGGTCCATGTCCATGCAGCAAGTCAGTCTGCAGGGCGTCGTCGAAAGGCCGACTGCAAAGCTGACATCCAACAGCTCGGCAGCATTGCGCCGACGCGTGTGGGAAGACCAAAGCGTCCATCGTGAATGTGAATGCAAGGTGAAGGCCAGTGCGCGCAAGAGAAGACACGACGGCTATGTACATGCTGAGAAGGATCTCTGTATAGCGCGCCGGCATGCTGGGGTCCTACTTGCCGATCGATCGCTCGGGGCGAAGACCGAGTGGCAGTTTCATGCTTTGAATCAAGGACGCATGAATGCGTCAGCATCGCGCGTCCACATGGTCCACGCTGACTAGCGCCGCGGGACCGCGCAGCTCGGGGCCTCTACGCAGCGTCCGCGATTCGCCTCTTCTGTCGCGCGGGCGGGCGATCAGTATCGTAGGCACTGAGACTGGCGCAATAGTTAAGCGAGGTTGTTTGCACAAACGGCTGGGTAACCCGTCCGGCCATGTTGGACACTTTGGAAAAGGCAAACGCCGCATGACAGCTCGTACTGCCCACGTTCGCTTGGCAAGCAGCAGCAATGGCGGCACCAAGAAGAGGGATTCGCACACATCAACAACCCCTTGAAAGGCGTGTCAGCGGTGTTGGCAGCCGCGTAATCGACCACGCGGAAGCCAGAGCACGGTTGCCGCCCCGCATTCGTGCCTTCAAGACCAAGCGGTTTCCAGGTATGGTGACGTCCCACCTCAGCACTTCTTGTTGTCGTGAGCTGCACAGCAAAACCATGTGGATGCAGCATAAATTGACGCCTTAGTGCATTATCATCTGGGTTGCGGGTCGCCCGTTCTGCACCGTCCATTCACGATTGGTGTGCGCGCCTTTGCGAAGGTTATGTGCGTCTGCAGGAACGCGCACCACCCACTCCCAGTCCCTCCACCGCTTCAATGTTGCTGGGCTAGAAGCATGGAGCGACAAGCGGATGTTCTCTTCGGCGGCAACAATCGCCACGTCGCGGCCCAAACAACTTTGCCTTCTCGCCCCTCGGCCTTTCCCACCCTTTCCCTGTCCTGGTGTGTGAGCGATGCACTGCTCTCGGTCGCCTTTATAACCCCCATCGTGAAGCCTATGCACCCTCGGTCTCCTTCGTGACTCTCTTCCTTCTCAGATCTCTCGGTGCAGTCGCGTGCCGAGTTGCGGAACGCAATAAGCCAAGTACAGCTGCGCACACCCGACACACGGCACAACCACAAATCACGATGGCCAGTTTACCTCCAGAAGCGCTTGCGCTGCTCGTTCCTGTCAATCCGGTGCAGTACGAGATCATCGATGCTATCATCACCTTTGCGGTCTATGCGGGTTTTGCCATCGGTGTCGTCTCCGTCGAGTGGGTCGCCAACTGGGCAAATGAGATCAGACTTCTTCGCGCGAATTGGAGGTGGAGCAACGCCCTCTACTTTGTTTGTCGGTGAGTGTTCTGTTCTTCTTTGCTCATTGCCTGCCTGTTATTCTCCAATGGCACAGCCACAATTCTCTTTTTTTGCATCGGTGCTGACCAAATGCTTGACGCATCCTACCATTTCCCCCCCCTTGTCCGCACGCCGTGAACATCTCTTGCACATCGCACTGCAGGGCTTGCTCCCTCGTCCTCTGCGCCTGCATCACGTACTCGCTTGGTGCAAGTCCTCACTGTCGAAACGGCGTGTTATCACTCTACATTCCGCAGGCTGTCACCCACGCTGCCGGTGGCAGTATTTTTATTCTGCGCACCATGGCCATTTGGGGTGAGTTGGGCTAATTGGCACAACGTCTTGACGGCAATGCCAAAGAGAACGAAGGACGACACGGCTGACGCAATGTTCTTGCCGCCCATGTGCTTGCTTCAAACCAAAGACTGGAACAAAGTTGTGCTATTGATGCTTGTCATCAGTCTGATGGCCACAGTAGGCTGCATGGTAGGGGTTGGCTACACGCAGCTCATCGCCACGCCCAATCCGATTGGATTGCACAGCTGCCTCTTGACCTTGGACCCGCTACAAGTAGTGACATATTGGGTACCCGCCGTTTTCGACACAATGGTTCTGGTCTTCACCATCATCGGTCTGCGTCGTAAGCCGGTGGGAGCGATGCGCAAGAAGCTCCTTCAGCCTACCGTTCTCTGGTACTCTGTCGTCACCGCGTCCTACTGGATCGTCGGTATCTGGACGCTGACAGTTCCAGACAAGGTGTCATTGTTCGGAGGGGTTTGGACAGCTGTTGTCGCACCCATTGCATATTGCCGCGTCTTCCTTGACCTTCGTCAAGATTCGCAATTGGGCCGGACGAGCAACAATCAACACTTGGGCAGCAGCAGCAATGGAACCAACTCACGTTCTATCGGCCTTTTCAGTAATCGTAGCGAGAGCAAGGGCAAACAATTTGGAAGTCCCTCTTTCGATCGTTCTTTTGTCCAGCATCCCGAAGCCGCTGCAAACAATTTCCGAAATGCCCCGCCTTTGGAGCAAATCCATACGGAAAAGCGCAATCGATCTGGATCTCAGCCGCATGGCGCATGGCAAGTGCATAGCCCGCATCAACAGGCAAATGGTGCATCGAAGATGGGTAATGACATGGAGCAAGAGGGCGAGGGGGGATTCGCACTCGAACAGATTTCTGCACCATCGCCCCTTTCGTCCAACCGACTCAGGCAGGGAGAGGCTGCTGAAGCAGGAGGCGTCCGACTCAACGTCAATACCGAGGTCTTTCGGAGCGATCCTGACGATCATCACGCTTTTCGTTCTAGAGACGTGCCACTTTCGGATCTTCACTCCACGATAGACACCCGTTCGAGCCCCAGCGCGCCTCTTGCGGAGATTCAAGCTAGCCACAACAGGTGGACCCGTGAAGCTGATCGTTGGGCTTGAACGCACAACATCCCTCGTTTAGCCCACTTCTCCCATGTGACTCTACTCTCCTGCCTTTGGCTGGAGACAAGTTGAGCATTACGATCGCGAGAACCGTAAGCTTCGTCCTGTCATCGAGCTAGAGCTTGTGGTGTTCGGACGCCCTGCCATGTTGCTCCATCAACTTTCTATGTTGAGCTTTTGTAATGTTCGACTCTCGCCTGATACACTTCACTCATCTGTAGTCCGACTCTCCCTCTTCGCCCGCTTCGCCTCCTCACCCTGGAGGGCGTTTCCGACTCTCTTTCGGCCCCTCTTTTCATACTTGTACTTTTCAATTACACGAGCTTCCATGGCGTATCAAAATGGGTACAAGTAAACAGCCTTGAGTCGTTGTGCTGCATCCGACCCATGAGCAACCTGATTGTGCATTCTTTCAAAAGATTGCCAGCTACCGGTGTACGCATATTCTGACAAATGACGCCCGCCGCCTTGCGACATTCATTTACCTCTTGTGCTTTCAGCCAGCGAATCAAAGAGCAGCAGTGGACATCAAGCCACTGTCTGGGCTTGCGGTACACCGATCTTTTTCTGTATCAGCCAGCCATCTCTGGTGCAGAGGAGAGGTCTGTGCGGCGAGATCGGCTTGGAAATCGTTGCTCTGTGAGCACGTTGTTTACACGATTCTCTTCGAATACCGCTCCCATGCCTCACAGTCGGGGTCCATTGGCACTATGCCGCATGCTGTGGTCACATACAAGGCGGATTGCTCTGCTTTCGGACTCGACAAAGTGGCCAAGCCAGCATCTCCTTTCTCTCTCTGGACAGCGGAGAGAAAATTCCAGCGAAAGGGCAGACAAAGCGCCGCTGGAGATGAATCGCACGAGATCGTTCAAGGCAAGTGTGGCGAAGGCGTGCATCATGCCCAACTTGGGTCCAGCAAAGTCACATTTGCGGTAATACCATCGAAGGCTGCACGACTCCAAGAGAGTTCGATGGGACGCATCACCTGCGATGAGATGTTCATGTCGACTGTCGAAGCAGATTCAAACTTGCGCGTGCTGAAACGCGCTGGATGCAGTGCTCTGCTATGCATGTGGGACAAGCATTTGTGTCGCAGCCGAGGTGTTTCCTTGCTGCTGCTTTGACTGACATGATGAGCGCTGTCCACTCGATGCTAGAGAATGATGTGATGTGATGTGATGTGATTAGTAGGGAGCAGCACTTTCAATGCTGCTGACGACCCGCTGAGCAGGCCGTAGCGGAGCTGATGCACCACTGCCTCCTGGGCGACCTGACCTGACCAGACCTGACCTGACCTGATCGGGAGTGCGGGTTGCAGGCGAAGGGGCAGGGACGAGAGGAGACGAGACGAGACGGTGTTCACTTGCGCCACTGCTCCGGCACGAACATTTGCTCGCGCGGTATGGCGATGCCAGTGTCGGTGTGCACGATGCTGATACCATCACCCTCATCGACGATCTGCAAGTCCGAGCCGACTGGCAAGTCCCAGATGCCAATCAGCGCCGGCTCGCGCTCGCAGACCAGATTAAAGTCGACGATTTGCATATTCTCCGAGTCGGCCAGGTACTCTTGCGTGTCAATGTCACTGAAGATGCGCCAGCCATTGTCCGCGGCAGCTTGAGACACTTCGCGAACCATCCACTTGACCCGACCGGCGCCGCTGACGACGTTGGTCGAGGCCAAGCACGCCCCGGCGTCTGCGATGAACTCGATTGGCGCGGTCATTGCTGCGCTTCGTTCGATTGTCTTGGCCTCGGAGTTGGCGGAGGCGGCCCTTGCTGGTGCAAAGGTGCTCGATTGCGTAGTCAAGTCTTTGGGATCGCAGAGATGATGGAGGAATCACGTGAACTTCCGTCATCTTGCCGTCGTCCACGCATACAAGTCGTGCGTCCTGATGCAGGTCATGGTCTCGAGTTTGCGGTCAAAGTCACCTGCGTAAAACAACGGGGCAAATGTGAGCACGTGACGAAGCGCGCGACGCGCACAGACATACATGAGCGAGATGATTGGGACAACATAAGCAATCTACGCTCACTTCCACCCATTTCTCGTGCAGCTTGCAGCAAATGTCAATGAAGCTCGTCAATTGTAGTTCGAAATAATGATTCTTGAGTGAGCTCGTCCTGAGGATGCTTTGTAGCAGGCCACCACGCAACAAAGGTTGACCGGAGGAAATCCGGGCCTGTCGTGCATGGCAGACGGCCAAGGCTAGTCGTTGAGTCGAGATGACCTTCCATGCGGCCAAACAGCGCATACATGCGCTCGCCAACCTTGGTCACCTTGTAGCTTACCATTGCCCAGCCCAAACGGCCAGCCAATCAAGAGCGACGACAGATAACTGCAGCGACGGGTGCCTCATCAGCCAAGCGAAATGGGCAAGGAAGCACTTATGATTGGCGGTCACAGCCCAGCGTCAGCCAGCGGAACACTGCTTGTCTGTGACCCACGATCGCGGTCGCTTCGCTTGGTGACTGAGCGTGGAGGAAGAAGGGGCGCTGCACGCGTGCTCATGCGGTTCTTGTTCTGGACCGCCATGGAGTGCAGAGCAGAGCGCTATGATGATCGGGTGTGGTAGAAGTATCATTGAGGGGTATAGATGGTCAACTGATCGCTCCATTGTCTCGCTCGCCACCGGCTGGGCGGAGGAGATGTAGCTAACAAGCAACATGATCCCCACGCAACGTGGCGGCACCGCGCTGCGTCGCAGCGCCATTTGGCAATCGCATCTTGCGAATGACTCGGCTCAACGTCGTTAGACGTGCGGTCGGCGACCGTCTAGGCGCCTCTTTCTGGTCTCGCACCTCTTGCTCGAGCGCCACCTTGTACAGCGTCCGGTCGTACATTCCTCTCCCAAGGCTTGTGCACTTGATCTTCCTTTTCCGCGTCCCAAGCCCTGGTGGAAGAGTGCTGCAACTTTCGCGCCGCATTCGCTGCTCTCTCTTGCGCTATAGCGGCCTGCGAGGCGATAACACAAAGAAACTTTGATCAGCATCTCGTGTTGACATTGCACGAGGCATTCTCACAGGCGTACACGTGACGTCATTCGATGGCTTAGCGGGCCACCGCTACCACAGAGCCAACTCACATCTCTCTCTCTTTCCTTTCTCATCCTCTCCTTTTTCTCCCTTTTCACTTGCGCCTCTTTTTGCATTGCTTCCCTCCTCTTCGCCTCTTCTTCCTTGGTCCTCTCTCCATATCTCTGCAAGTCTTCCTCCACTTGTGCTCGTCTAGCCATGATGTTCTCATTAGCCGCTCTAGCCTTGGCCAACCTAGCTTCTAGCTCCGACTCGCTCGGCTTGGAGCGAGCAGGACCTCCTGTAGTATGCCGCGTGGGATTGGTGTATGCTGGGGACACCTTGGGAGATTTGGGCGCAGAGGGGGCCGAGCTGGGCATGCTGAGCTGTGCTGCTGCTGATCCTGACTGCGGATCTGCAACTCGATTCGCATTCACGTGATCTGCAACGCTCGAGTCGACAACGAATGATGCTGCATCGCTGCCCGGCTTCGTATTGCCTGATGCAGCTCCTACCCCTCCACCGCGTCCTTTCGCAGTCGCAGTCGCAGTCGCAGTCGCAGTCGCAGTCGCAGTCGCAGTCGCAGTCGCAGTCTCCGAGCCCCGACTAGCGCCTCTGCCTCTGCCTCTGCCTCTGCCTCTGCCCCTGCCCCGGCCCCTGCCTCTCTCCCACCTCTCTCCCTCCTTGCCGTCTGCTTTGGGCGCTCGAGGTGCGGCAATGTCGTGCGACTCGTGCGACGACGCCGCCTCCTGCTCTGGCGGACCTGCGATGGTGGCATCACGCGGTGCCGCATGCAGATCATTGGCCTTCTTTCCGCCACCTTTCAAACTTTGGGCATTGGCATTGGCATTGGCATTGAGCTTACCTGATGCCCTCCGCTCCTCCTCCTTACAATCTTCTGAGCTAGACATCTCTCGGGCAAGCGCGTCAGCCGTCAGCCTCTTGCCCAAGGACGATGGCTTTCCAAATCGCTTCTTCGCCGGCTGCGGGGATACCGAACCCTTCTTCAGTCACCTCGATACTGTGACTCAAACTCGTGTTGAGTAGATGACGAATCAGATGGTTGGGTGTTGGGTGTTGGGTGCTGGGTGCTGCGTGTGTTGGACAGCTTGACAGCAAGCAAGCATGCAAGCAAGCATCATGGGCGCCGCCGGCCGTCCAACGAGTCACGTGTGTGGCGCACAATTCTTGATTACCAATCACGTGAATGAAGGATCTGCGCGCCGAGAAGCGCGCGCGGGATGTCCACGTGGAAGCAAAAATGGCCCTGCGCCACCAAACGCTCACGCGGCACGCTGCAACGTCGCACGGGCGATTATCGTCGTCGTCGGATGGATCGCGACTCACGATTCACGATTCACGATTCACAATTGCCGCGCATCGCCATCCACGCTCCTCCACACACTCTATCCCTGCACATCTCCGCTCTCGATCAGGCAGTGCCACAAAGGCACCCTCGCACCCTCGCACCCTCGCGCCCACACATCCCTCCCCTCCCATCCACAAACCCCGCCTCGTGGCTCATCATGTCGCTGTCCATCTCCAGAAGCGCAAGTCAAGCGCTCCGTGCGGTCAGCGGTCAAGCAAGCAAGGGAGCAGCGCACAGCTTGTCCAAAGCCGCTGCACCCACCCTCCAGGTCAGAGCATTGTCCAGCGCCAAGCCCAGAGCTGCGCTGCAGGGTGTTGCGGGAGATAAAGGTGAGTGAGGCATGCGGCTACTTGGCGTCAGGCGCATACAGCTGCTTGGATCGATAGAAGGTGTCAACAGTGTGCCAGGGAAGCTCGCCGACGTCACCTCGCGACGTCAGCTGTTGCGCCGCTCCGCTACTGTATATCGTCAGAAGGAGGTCGCGATGGCAGAGCTCGGGGTGCATGCACATCTTGGACCTTTGCAGCGCAGTTTATGCAGTCTAGCAGCGTTGTAGACGATGCTTCTGAGACTTGTCTGCTGGGCTCGCCGGAGGGCAAGGAGGGCGAGGCTCAGGAGCTGGGCCGGGGAGGCACACGCCACGCTCGCATTCACGTCTTGAGAGAGATGCAGCTTTTGCAAGTTGCGCCCGAATCCTTCGCTGATGTCGGTCGCCATCCTCTCATCGACACGTCAGTCAACCCTGACTCGCCCTTTGCCGAGTCGGCGGGATCCAATCCGATGGACAAGTTCAAGACCATCACTCCGGCACTCCACGATTACGGCACCTATCTCGTATCTTGTGAGTGCAACCCCTTGACCTCGCGCAGCTCGCCTTTCTGTTGCGCCTGGGCTGAACTTCACCTCTCATGGCGCATGTATGCTGCTGCGCAGGTCTTCCCAAGTACATTCAACAATTCTCGGTGGTAAAGGACGAGTTGACGCTGTATGTAGCGCCAGCCTCTGTCATTCCCACTCTGCAGTTCCTTCGTGACCACACGCAAACGCAGTTCAAGGCGCTCATGGATGTTTCGGGAGCGGACTATCCTACCCGCAGTCAGCGCTTCGAGGTGGTCTATCACCTCTTGTCGGTGCGACACAATGCTCGCATCCGGGTCAAGACGTACGCGGATGAAGTCACTCCGGTCCCATCTGCCACTGCTCTCTTCAACAGCGCCAATTGGTACGAGCGGGAAGTTTACGATATGTACGGCGTCTTTTTCGTGGGCCACCCCGATCTGAGAAGGATCTTGACGGATTACGGTTTCGAGGGCCACCCACTCAGAAAGGATTTCCCATTGTCTGGCTACTCTGAAGTCAGATGGGACGAGGAGAGAAAGAGGATCGTAACGGAACCGCTGCAATTGACGCAGGCGTTTAGAGACTTTTCGGGAACGAGTCCGTGGGAGCAGATCGGAGAGGGTCAGGATTACACTCCAAACGCTTTCAAGCTTACCCCTCCCAAGGAACCCGAGGGCGACGACAAGGGCAAGAAGTAGAGTTTGGCGTACCCATCTTGAGGCGTCGGACGCGCGCGCGCCCGCCTTGCGGCCGGTTATAGAAGGAATCTAATTCCTGCTCGCAATACATTCATCTCACGATCTCGAAGGCGTATGCTCGCGAGCGGTCCTTGGCTGAAGCAGCATGGTGATTCTCAAGAGTTCGCCCAAAGTTTCGAGAGCGTTTTTGCATCTCGAGTATCGAGCAGCGGCAGCTCCCTTTTCCCCCCTTTTTCTCTCTCTCTCTTTCCCAATTGTCTCTGCTACCTTGAATCGGTGAGTGACGGGATGCCGACTCGCTGTGTGCATCCTCTTGCGATGTCGTGGCATCGAAGTTGCGCCTTGAAGATGAAAGGTACAGATCTTCTAAGTGGCCGCGGGCAGCACCGTAAAGCAGGTAGACTATTGCTTACCCTATGCTGATGATTCGCCCTTTTTTCCCATTCTTATGATGGGGCGACGTTGAGGTACAGAGCCTGATCTGATCTCTTCCACTTTCACATTCTCAAAAGTTTGCGTCTGGCAAACATACGCTAGTCGGTCTACCATGGGAAGTTTTTTCGAGTGAGCGAGCGAGTACTGATCGTCGTAGTGGAGCGCGAAAAGGCCGACGTACCAGTCGCCCATTCACGATGCAAGATGGTCGTCGGACGAGCTTTCGAAAGCAATGGCCTGACGTACAGGACCGGTCCACGCCACGCCTTTGGGCCGCGCGAGCCAAGCAAGCTCAAACGAGCTCAAAGGACGTCTGCGGGAAATCAGAATGTCATTCTGGACCCTTACTTGGACAGGACTTTGCGTCAGGAAAAAGCACGCTCGCACGTCATTCGATCGGTGATGCATGGTCTAGAGCGAGAGCAGGTTCTTTTTGTTTGACCCGGCAGACGCCCACCTGTGTCGAGAGCTCGATCACCACCGACTCAGACTGGCGGTGCGCAAGTCGCGCGTCGCCCGTCGCGCGTTTGGACCGTCTGTTCGCGCTGCCCTGCAGAAGAAGCGTGAGAGAGGAACTAGAGGGCCGTGCGGGATGTTCTCTCAAAGGCGACTGTCTCGTGCATTGGTCCACGCGCCATTGCGGATAACGATGATCCACGCAAGCAAGCGCTTTCCCTTTACGTGCTTGGTCCATCGTGAAATCGTGAATGCGAATCGTGGGACGTGGATGCTGGCTGCTTCGTCGGTCACCCTGTGAGCGCGTCGGGCCGATTAGCCGCCACGCAGCATCGGTTCCGCGCGCGGGCGCGCATCACTCTCAAACTCCATCAAGCTCACAGCGCTTATTGCATGGCGGTGCGTCTGCGTCTGCGTCTGCGTCTGCGTCTGCGTCTGCGTGCATGGTTGCGATTTGATTGCCATCGAGTGGCTGATGTGCGCACGCGTGGCAGGCCCGCGGACGCGCCCGCGGACGCGCACGCGAAGCGCGGTGTGGCTTGATGCCGCGGAAGCCAAGAAAGCATGCAGTCACAGTGAGTGGGCCGCGCGCGGGAGGATGGGATGGTTGGAGGGCAGGCGCATCGAATCTGCGCGTTCCTAGATCAGCTAGGCAGGCCATCTGCTGTACTCACGACGGTACCGACCCTTTGAAACGAAAGCTGCATGCCATGCATCCTACGTCGATCCCGACCAGACTTGCCTTTCCGATGCGATGCGAAGCAGCGAGCGCGGCTGGCGCGCGCGAGTCAGAGTCAGAGTCAGAGTCAGAGTCATCAGAGTCAGAGTGTGCATCGGTACCGAGACACACTCGTGACTACTCGCGGCTGCCGCGCAGTCACCCTCTATCAACGTCGTCAGCATGCAGGCACAGGACGCTATCTATACACATCACTTGCAGCCCTGGATTCGTGATTCATGATTGTTTGTCGCTCGCCATGGCCATGCAGACTCTACGAGTCGCGCCTCTGCTGTGAAAGGGCGGTGAGAGATGTGCGCCACACAACATCACGCAGAGCGCAGACACGATCGACGCGGTCGGCACGCAATCACGACAGCTCGGACCCCAAGGCAACGTGCGGAACGGGTGCCCGACACCGTATGACTCGATCGCGCGGCCAAGCCGGGCAGACAATCGCGGTACCGCGACTGCTGCTCTTGTTTGTTCTGCGTGAGACTGATGGGCGCTCCGGCGCTGCTTGATTGGGATCGATCGATTGACTGACCGGTCTGACTGCGCCCGTAACGGCACGGCACGGGGGCACCGACAGTGGCCAAGCTGAGTCACGAATGGCGATGCATGCCTCAAGCCAAGTCGAAGGGCTGAACTGTTGACTGCATTCATCGCTCTTGGGTCTGTCTGCATTACCGTCGTGCGTGACGCGTGTTGCTATTTGATGCACAGCCCGACGATCCCGGAGACGAAGGAAGGTGCATCCCGACCGACATCCACGAATCTTCTTGGCTCGCTCGGTGCTGCTGTGCATGCAGCAAGCAAGCTTCCTAGCTGGCCGCTTGTGCCCAAGGAGAACCGACGCGGCAGAGCGGAGTTGACGGGACCCGCTGCATGCCTATCCCCGTCCCCGGCCATGGCACGATGCCACGATGACTTGCTTGCCCGCACAACAGCAACAGATCAGCC